TTCCCCCTTCCCTTGTAAATAAACCTTTTATTAACCTTTTTGTGTGTGCCGCAGTGGAGTATTAATAAGTCCCTTTTAAGCGCGCGGGTGAGGACCCACAGCCAGGCAATCCATTTTGTACTGGGGCTGATCCATAACAGATCCTTCCTGTCCCTCCCAGCATCATGATGCAGTTACAAATGAACAGTCTCTAAGATAAGCATGAACAAGTTGGGCTATCTCTCAGGGTGTGGATCCCTCCTTGCCGGGAGCCAGCCTCGGCAAACTGGGTGTCACGGGTTCCTGAAGGATGGGATGGCATTTGCACAATTGAGGAATGAGGCAGACCAACTCACAATGTCTTGTGTTAGTATCTCCTGCTGAGGGTCTCACTGGTCTTTATTTATACATTAAAACAAGCGGTGAGATGACATCACATGCACGGAAGCAAAGCAGAAACAATCAGTGCATTCTTTTCACATAGACTTTTGGCTCCTACGTGCTCTCAGCAAGAAGGCAACCTTCAAGGTTAATAGACAAAAAACTAAACCTTACACTAAAACTCAGTATTTCAGCTTAGTCAATTACCTAAGACAGCTGATAGCCGTCGGCACACTCCTATCAGCTAAAGCCTAAGCATCAAAAGACTCCTCCATGTATGTGGCCTTCAGCCGGAGACCAACTGCTTCCTAGTTATCAGCTAACAGGGTTTCTACCTAGAAACTTCTAAACACTATTAACTTCATAGATCATTAAAAAAAAATTTTCCTAAGAAACTTCTAAAAAAAGGCAAAAGAAGGAATTACTGTGGTCGTTGTCCTGGGTTACTTGTCAGGCATGTTCATGTATAACAAATTATTTCGCATTGTAAAGCAGGCCAGATTTACAGTGTTTAATTTTTAAGCAGGTATTTCTTTGTGCCATTTACTTACAGTATTCTATACGAATAAGTTATTGCCCAATGTACTTTCTGAGAAGTTTTTTCTTACATGACCAAGAAAAAAAAAAACAAAGGGCTTATAGGTTACAGCTTAATCTTCAGCCCCAGAGTGTGAGGACCTTGGAAATCTTCAGCCCCATGGTGTGAGGCCTTTTCTTTTGTTTACCAATTTCTTAGCTGGTTGGGGCAGCAAGGCCCCTGCACTTCCTGACTCTCCCAGCATCATGATGCAGGTGCAAATGACCAGTCTCTCAGATAAGCAGTATCAAGTTTGTCTTTCCCATATTTCTTGCAATTCTCCCCTTGTTTGCCAATTTGTCTTCTTGCATTCCAAGGAATACAGCAGGTAAAAAAGCAAGCTGTGCCCACCTGTCTCTGTGCCAACCCCTTCCCCCTCCCCTTTGCAGACCCTTCCTGTCTCTCCTCATTTTCCCTTTGTGTGACTACCCCTGTACTCTGCCAAGGAGCAGCACGGTTGTCTCTCAGACATGAGTCTGCTGCCTTCTCATCTGGTGATCAATTAAACCACTTTCCCTACACTGAAGCGGCATTCATTATCAATCACCCCACAGGCCTGAGGGAGGACACAGATGCTGTGTTGTCAAAGTGACCTCAATGATGACCCGTGTCCCTCTCCATCCTGCTGTCTGGGGAGAAGGTCAGGACCACAGGGTTGAAGGAGAAGAGTAAAATTCTTAGGGTCCTGCCGTGAAATAGGGAGTAGCTCACCCTGACCATGTGGGGAAGAGCCCTGGGGAGGGACTTTTTGGCCTCACTTCCCCTTTGTGTCACTGTGGTGTCACCATATGGCCCTGTATTAAAGTCAGCACTACAGTGATATTCAGCCTCGTCCTCAGACTGGATGTTGGAGATGGTCAAGTAGCAGTCAGCCCCTGAGGCAGAGCCTGAGAGGTGATCAGGAATCCCCTCTCCTTTGCTGTGGCCTCCATCACTCCTAAGATACATCACATTCCCTGGGACCCTCCCTGGCAGCTGTTGACACCATGCAATGCGGAAGGTACTAAACTCTCTGTTCAGGGTGCAGGTGAGTTTCACTGAGGGTCTCAGGGAGGCAGATACAGAAGGGGGCTGGGTCAGCACAGGCCCAGCACAGAGACCTGGAACAGAAAATGCAAGAACCATGCTGAATGACAATGGGGAGACAGCCCTAAGGACTGTGCAGGGTGGGAAATACTGAGGAGGGGGAACCCTGAGTGTCTGGGCTACTCTGATGTGTGAAGACCATGACGGGCAGAAGGTAGAAGGATACCCAAGCCATGGTGGAGGATTCCAGGAGCTCTGCCCTGAGGCTGCCCATCTGCACTGGCCTCTCCATGCTTCTGTGTTACTCTCTCTGTCTGTAGTTCAATGATGCGGGACAGCCAATGGAAATCACTCTCCAGTCCCCAGGGTGTGTGTCTCTGTCTTGTCTTGGTCCTGAGCCAATGGGTGTCAAGATGCTGATTTCCTGATGTCAGAAGAACAGGTGTGGGACATTGTGGGAGCTGGTTGTACAACAGAAGTGTCTTCAAGGGGACCATCAGTCATGCCCAGTGCACTTGAGCATAGCCCAGTGTCTGGACTGATTTGTAGCCCCAAGCCAGGACCACAACGCCCCCTGGTGCCCAGAATGAATGTCATCCTGCATGTGCTGACAGTCACCAGCATGACTGCTTCTGACCCTGATGGAGACCAGGCCCTGGGTGAGTGTGACATGGGCCCCACAACAGACACTCAGAATAACCTTCTGCTTCCATTTACTAAAAGAGGAAACTGATGAGGGTAAGTGACTTTCTCTAAATACCCAAGAAGCATAGGGTAGACTAGAATTCCCACTCAGAGCCCATTGTTCACCCACTTGCCCTCCCCTCACTGGGCATCATGTTTTCCTCCTTCCCTCATGCCAAGCCTCTTGGCCCGTCCTTTCAGGACCCAGCTTCTCTATTCAGGAGTCTGTCCTCCCTGCGTCTATGCAGTGAACACTCAGATGCTCGCAGAGCTAGAATCCGATTCCCTGTCAAATATCTGTGCACAATTGTGGGGACCCTTGTCTGCTCTCTCTGACAGGACAAGGGGACCTGAGACCTTGGTCAGGCTCCACGTGTCAGGCTCCTTTCCTGATATTTTAGGATGAGGATCCTTTCCAATGAGGTCAAGGTCTCTGCCTTGGAGGACAGTCAGGTAAGCCCAGGAGCACTTTCCCCTAAAGTCCTGAACAAATATATTTGAACTCAGTCTCCTTCTGCTGAAAATGTACAATGTGACTCACTGACACATGCTGACACTCTGCACCTGGACTCCCTGAGAGGCTCCTGTGCCCCTGGGCATAGACACTCCTGGTATTCTTCCCCTCCCAGTTGTGTGTAAAGAGGTGACTACCACTGGACAGGGCCACAGACCTCATGCCTGTCCATCCTGTTCCCAGCTTAACACACCACAAAGCCTTCCCCTGATGCTTTCTCCCCTCTAGGTGCCCCTCAGAGTCTCCAGGGATTGCTGGCTCCTCAGGGCCAGTCCTCAACGTTCCCTTCTGGGTCTCAGTGCAGCGTGTGGCCAGTTGTTAGCACCATCTGGGGAGAACGGTCTTTCCTAAACAACCTGTGCTTGGGAACTTGGAAAAGATCTCTCTATGAAGAAGGACAAGTCATCTGACTTCAGGGACATTTCCTGATGATCAGCCACCATGTAGATCAATTCCAAAATAATTTTTCATGAGATTTACAGGATTGACCTTCTCTCTGAAAGGGATTCTGCACCACAATAGAAGTAATTCACAAGTAATTCACTTGTCATTCCTTTCACTGATGAAAGGAATGGGTGTTGACACGATGTTGAAATGTGTCATTGTATTGAATGTCTTGTCTTTGAGCAGGGGTCAGTGTAGACACGTGTTGCAACATTCCCTCATTGCTGGAGCCTCTGTACCCGGATATGCGTGGAGAGTGGAGCTGTCCTTCCCCACATGAGCCCTGCTTCATGGGACCTGCCACTCCCCTGGCGCCTGTGAGAGCAGCTGCAGGGACAGGTGCTCAGGGTTTTTCTCATTTAGAAGTTCACCATTTTCTGACCATCACGTGCTGCATCACTGTCATGAGGATTCTGATACATGACATCCAGAAAATTTCACTGTCAGGATGGGCTCATTGAGGTTTGTATTATCAGGGCTAGTGTATTCCTAAATCTTCACAGAAAGTTTTTGATAAATGCCAAAATTTATGCAGTGTCCTGTCCTAGATACTGGGGACCTGTCATTATTGTCTTTTTTTTTTCCTTACATTTTGATTCTGTAAATTCCCTGGACACATTCAGTCCTTGCTCTCAATTTGCTTTCTTACACCCTTCTGAGGCACCAGATCAGCCTAAAGTTTGGACAAATTTCCCTACTAGTGAGCAAAGTCCTCCTGACAGGCTACCAATGCCTTACTAGGATCTGTTTCTTCTGACCAGGGAAGAAGCAAATATGACTGTGTGTGCTTGTGTGTGTGCAGGTGCGTGTGTGTGTGCCAGTGTGTTCCCGTGCATGTGTGTGTTTTCGTGTGTGTGTGCACACTCCATACAAGAAACTCCCTCTGATGTCTCAGGGAGGATATTCCTCCTGCCCATCCTCTTCCTCCCTCACCCCTGTGCTCATCTGTGCTTTAGAATCTTTGCTCAACTCCAGAGCTGTCTCTGCACTTCCTCGTGCTCTGCCCTCTCAGTCTTTCCACCTTGGTCCTCAATCCCCACAACTCTGTGGTCAGGGAAACACCTGGAGCCCCTTCCTGCAGTCCCAAATCCACTCAGGACTCACCTCTGCAGAGAATGCCCGAGAGCTGGGGTGGGGCAAAGGACTAGGGACCCGGGTCTCCTCCTCTTGCCTGTGTCTCATCCTCCTAGGTCTGGAGGAGAGTGTGACCCAGACGAGGAAGGGGTTTTTGTCTCACTTCCCCATGTGCCCATGTCACTGTGGGATGAGTATAACTGCTGTCTGGTGACAGGCAGAAATAGTCAGCCTCATCCTCAGCCTGGGCCCCACTGATGGTCAGGGTGGCCATGCTCCTTGAGCTGGAACCTGAGAATCGGGCAGGGATCCCTGATGGCCTGACACCATTAGCATGAACAAGCATCACAGGGGCCTGGCCAGGCTTCTGCTGGTGCCAGCTAGCATAATTGGATATTCCTTGGCAGGTGATCGTGGCCGTCTGTCCCAAGGCCACAGAGACTGACTGTGGTTGACTCGGCTCAGCTGTGACCACTGAACCTGCAAGAGGAGAGGAGAAGAGAGGTGAGTGTGAGGATGAGGGTCATTCCCAGAGGGCACAGCCCCTGCTGCATCCCCTGTGCTGAGCTGAAGGTCAGGCCAGGCTGCTCCCTGGTGTCTGTGTGGGCTGATCCCTAGAGCCAGCACCTGTGCAGATAATGAGGAGGGGGAGCAGGAGAGGGCTCCAGGCCATGGTGCAGATGTAGCAGGATCAGCTTCTAAGCCTGCAGCTGGGATGGGTGCTCAGGGCCTCTCTTATCCTCGGGTGGCATGCAAATCTACTTCCTACCTCCCTGTGGCCTTGCTGGGCCCCTGAGGAACAGACAGAGCTCAACCCATAGAAAACCTGAAGTGCAACCAAGTGCCTGGTCTGTACTAGATATTCTAAGACCTGTGGAAACAACACTCTCTCACACTTGCTCTCTCTCTCTCTCTCTCTCTCTCTCTCTCTCTCACACACACACACACACACACACACACACACACACACACACTCTTCCCTATGTACCTGGGACCACCCTCTGCTTTGGGACAACCCTCATCACTCTCTCTAGTGAGGAGAACACACGTGGGGTAGACTTTGCAGACTTGAGGACGGAGATGTGGGGACAGAGTTCACACTATGTGAGCGGCCAAATTAGGATTTCACTACTGTTTTATATAAGATGTGAAACTTTTGAAATCCAGACCTGGCTAAGAAACCCTATTTAGGCTCCATGGTCTCTGAAGGCCACCAGGGTCATGGTCTTTGCACAGAGGAAGAGCTCAGGGGACTGAATGGTCAGGACACGTAGATCCTTAACTCAATGACCAGGGACAGCCCTGGTGACCAGACTGTGACCAGAGAAGGGAGAATCCACTTCACTCTGGAGAGGGTCTCTTAACTGAGGCCACAGATCTCCATTCAGGGCCCAGGGTGTCCTGAGAATCAGGCCTGCCCCTCCTGATATCCTGAGCAATTTAGGTATAGCCCGAGCTCACAGTCAGCTGGAGGAGGGAGAGGTGGTGCAGTGGGCAGTAGTGAGGGTGTCCCTGATATGCCAGCAGAGAGGGTCAGCTCCCTGGGCACAGGAACTATGGCTGCATTTCCCAGTGATGCCTTCTGGACTCTTGTCCCATCAGTGTCCTGGCAGCACACTGTGATTCTCACCCTCAGAATATGGTCACTTCAACCTGGGGGAAGGCCTGGATGGGCTGAGTTCTGCTGAAGCTGTTCTGGTTCCCAGTCCCCAGGACAAGTTGGTCTCCCACTGGGCAGGTTGGTCTCCCTCCAGGGCAGCCCACTTTGTCTTGGGGCACCTGCCTGCAGCTCTGTTGTCCCCTGCTGGTGGAGGAGAGCTCATCTCAGGAACCTCCTTGCTAGTCACCCCAGAGCCCCTGTCCAAGGAGACAGTTTTGAACAGATTCCAGCCCTCCCCTGTGCCAGCTGTGATGCCCTGACCTCCTGGCAGAGCGCAGCAAGATAGAATATTGTCATAGGGGTGCAGGGCACATCAAATTTTTGAAGCACATACAACAGGTTATGTGCCCTAGCCTGGGTGATTTGTTCATTTGCAAAATTGAAAACTCTGGAACCTGCCTGATGCTCTAGAGGCTCCTGCCTTCATGTCACCTCAGATTCCAGTGGAAACCTCCCTTCCACAGCAAGGGGAGGTTGATTATCACCAGGAGCTCCTGGTATTTCTTAATCTGAAATTCAAATTAACTCTAACGTCACTATTCGTGAGTATTTACCAGTGTTTTTATCACTATGTGTTTTTCAGAGTTTGTGTTGAAGGGTTTCTACCTCAGCCTAGTCTGAACTGGCGCTAAGATTTTTGACTTTGTATTTACTGTTGGTATATTCTTGACAGCCCATTCTTTGGCGTAGCTTTTCAATTCAATTGATAGCCTCTGCTCTTTTTTTTTTTTTAAGATTTATTTATTTATTTATACAAGCACTGGGTACAGTCAGAAGTGCGGGAGAGTGAGAGAATTCACCAGAGCAGAACAGGCAGATGGATGAAGTACATTGCTGAGGGGAGCAGCTGGCGCCAGGAGAGGTCTGTGCACCATGTGGGACCTTTACCTGGTGGCCAGGGATTGAACCAGCACTGCAGAGGCTGTAGGCAGCTTCGCAACCCAGCGCTCAACATCTGCGCCACCAGGGAGGATAGTCTCTGCTCTTAATTGTGATATTTTGATTATTTACAACGAAAGTGGTCATTGACATATATATATATATTTATATTAAAAAAATTATTTATTATTTATGCATACAAGTACTGTGGTGTGGCCAGAAATGTGAGGGATGAAAGTACTCACCAGAGACAGAGTGGTGAACACAACAGGCAGATTGACCAAATACACTGCTGAGGGGAGCAGCGGGGGAGTCAGGAGAGGTCTGCTGCGCCATGTGGGTAGCTCCCTGTTGGGGGATGGAAGTTGAGCTTCAGTGGCTGTGGGTAGCTGCATAGGTTGCGTCTTAACACCTTTTGCCACCAGGGAGGCCTGGGCATTGATATATTTTAAATGTGTATAGGTATTTTTTAAACACGCCACAATATTATTTATTTTTTATTTTATTTTTTTAAATAATAAATTTTATTTTTATATTCCCCATACAATTGCAAACCCCCCATTCTGACCCCAATCCCTCCCTCCCGCCCCCGCCCCCTAAAAGTGTCTCTGGTTCATAGTTTTTTGTTGATTTTGATTTTCACTTTCTTATAGTTATTCATTTTCCTGGTCCCTTATTTAAGTTTTCTAGATTCCTGCTATGAGTGAGACCATCCGGTATTTTTCTTTTTCTTTTTGGCTTATTTCGCTGAGCATGATCCCTTCCAGCGCCATCCATGTTGCTGCAAATTGCATGTGTTTATCTTTTTTGAATGCTGAGTAATATTCCATGGTATATATGTACCACATCTTCTTGATCCAGTCATCTATTTTTGGGCATTTGGGTTGTTTCCAAAGCTTAGCTATTGTAAACAGTGCTGCTATAAACATAGGGGTGCAGGTGTTCTTTGGAATTGATGTTTCTGTGTCCTTTGGGTAAATACCTAGGAGTGGAATTGCTGGATCATATGGAAGCTCTATGTTTAGTAGGTCCAGAAATCTCCACACAGCTTTCCACAGTGGTTGGACCAGTTTTCATTCCACCAACAGTGCAGGAGAGTTCCTTTTTCTCCACAACCTCGCCAACATTTGTTGTTGCTAGTTTTTTTAATATGTGCCATTCTCACTGGTGTAAGATGGTATCTCATGGTAGTTTTGATTTGCATTTCCCTGATAACTAGTGATGTTGAACATTTTTTCATATGCCTGTTGGCCATTTGCATTTCCTCTTCAGAGAAGTTTCTTTTTAGCTCTTCTGCCCATTTTTTGACTGGATTATTTTCTTTGTTGTTGTTGAGTCTCATCAGCTCTTTGCAGATGTTTGTGATCAGTCCTTTATCATTAGTGTTGGGTGCAAAAATGTTCTCCCAGTTGGTGGGGTTTCTCTTTGTTTTTGTTATTGTCTCTTTTGCTGTGCAGAAGCTCTTTAATTTGATGTAGTCCCAGCTGTTGATCTTTGCCTTCACTATCACTGCTTTGGGTGATGTGTCTGTAAAGATGTCTTTGATGTGCAAATCACGTAGTGTTTCGCCTATATTTCCTTCTATGTATTTTATGGTTTCCGGTCTTATGTCTAGTTTTTTAATCCATTTTGAGTTGATTTTTGTGTATGGTGTGAGGTAGTGGTCAAGCTTCATTCTTTTGCATATAGCGACCCAGTTTTCCCAGCACCATTTATTGAACAAACTTTCTTTGCTCCAATGCATAGTCTTTGCTCCTTTGTCAAAAATTAGTTGACCATAAATCTGTGGGTTTATTTCTGGATTTTCTATTCGATTCCATTGGTCTGAGTGTCTGTTCTTGTTCCAATACCATGCAGTTTTGATGATTATGGCTTTGTAGTATAGTTTGAAGTCTGGGAGTGTGATGCCTCCATTCCCTTCTTTTTTTTTTCAGGAGAGCTTTGGCTATTCGGGGTTTTTGTGATTCCATATGAATTTCATCAATAATTGTTCTATTTCTTTGAAGAATGACATTGAAATTTTGATTGGAATAGCATTAAATCTGTATATTGCTTTTGGAAGGATGGCCATTTTAATAATGTTTATTCTTCCAATCCATGAGCAGGGGATGTCTTTCCATTTCTTTGTGTCTTCTTCTATTTCTTTTAACAGTGTTTATAGTTTTCTTTGTATAGGTCCTTTACCTCTTTTGTTAGATTTATTCCCAAATATTTGATTTTTTTTGTTTGATAATAAAAGGGATGGTTTTTGATTTCTTCTTCTTCAGATTTATTGTTTGTGTATAGGAAGGCTACTGACTTTTGCATGTTGATTTTGTATCCTGCCACTTTACTGAACTGATTGATGAGTTGAATTAGTTTTTCTGTGGAGTTTTTGGGGTTCTCTATGTATATTATCATATCATCTGCAAATAGTGATAGTTTGACTTCTTCTTTTCCTATTTGGATTCCTTGGATGTCTTTCTCTTGTCTTATTGCTCTGGCTAGGACTTCCAGTATTATATTGAAAAGCAGTGGTGAGAGTGGACATCCTTGTCTTGTTCCAGATCTTAATGGAATTGCTTTCAGCTTTTCACCATTGAGAATGATACTGGCTGTTGGCTTGTCATAGATGGCCTTTATGATGTTGAGTTATGTTCCTTGTATCCCAAGAATTTCAAGGGCTTTTGTCATGAATGGGTGTTGCACTTTGTCAAAAGCTTTCTCAGCATCTATTGATATTATCATATGGTTTTTATATTTCTTTTTGTTGATGTGTTGGATAACATTGATTGATTTTCGGATGTTAAACCATCCTTGTGTCCCTGGAATGAATCCTACTTGGTAGTGGTGGATTATCTTATGGATACATTGTTGGATTCTGATAGCTAAAATTTTATTGAGGATTTTTGCATCAGTGTTCATTAGGGAAATTGGCCTGTAGTTTTCCTTTTTTGTGTTGTCCTTGTTCGGTTTTGGTATTAGT